TTTCTTTGTTCACAACTGTTTATAAACTCCAAATTAAACATGTAACCTTGTAAATATTTAGTGTTTGGTAGTTTAGTAGTAGTGCTAGTTGTTTTTGCTTCTCTATTTCCTTTGTTTTTATGACTTCTTAACTTTTTTCTTTGTCCTGAGGAAGGGACAGGTTGTCCCGAAAATTTGACAATTATTATTGTTCGTGTCGTTGGTCATTTTTAGTGCTTTATATATATATATATATATATATATATATATATATATATATATATATATATATATATATATATATAATGTTTTGATGTCTTGTGATGTTTTCTTGGTTGATTTGCATATTCTGAAGCTGTTTATACATTACTTTCTCTAGTCAAATATAGCGGAGAGGTGTACCATTTATTTATGGGGAACCTTAGATAATAAAATCTTTGGTAAAGCTAAAATTTTGAATCAAACACAATAATTCTTCCAACATTCAGATATTTATTGACATTCAATATTTTTCTGTATTCTTTGTTGTAAAAATTATTAAAAAATATGTTCAGCATTTTCACAGATAAGTACGATACGAGTTTATATTTATTTAAGAGAAAGGATAATCTTTATTTTCAAGACTTTCTGTTAATTAAGATTTCGAAATCGTACAACAATGTAACACCTTTAAACATGATATTTTTTCATTATACATATTTAATCCAAGGAACTTTTAAAATGTATGTAGGGATCCGAATTGTTGTCAAATCTTAATGAGAACAAGTCACTCAATTTCTTCATTACAAACTGGATGTCATCTTGCTTTTCATTGTTTTATTTGTTTTTCGACATTTTAAAATATATGTTATTTGCTACAAATTGTGATATTTTCTGTATGTATTCTGTGCTTGTGTATATGTATTCATGTATTGTGTGTGCATGTGTTTGTGTGATTGACCTTTCAGGATTTTTTAACTACATGTATGTTTTGCTATAATTCAATCTTCCAGTGATATATTGATATGAACAAAAAATTCTTTCCTTTGCCTGATTTTAGTAAGTGTTTATTCCCTTTAGAATTTTGTAATTTACCTTACGAAATTGTTGTCAGTAATTATTGTTTACGTAACCTACCATAAGGACTACTGAAACGGCTTTAATACGCATTATCTGTTGCAAATTTGTTAAGTTTTTAAATGTAAAATTAATGTTTTATATCTTTAGATCTGCAACTTAGAATTACTAGAAAATGGAGGACTACATATTCATATACTATGTAAGGGGAATCCTTTTCTTCTTTGTTAAAAATAATTAAAATAGTGCCATGGTTTTCTTTTACTTAGAAACTAGGTATAATATGAAATTTACGTTTATTTGTCTCCTACCCTATCCCTCTTCAATCCCTCCACAAACAAATTGCCTGTAAATCTTTGAAACACTGTAATAAAAACGTAACAGAATTTAAAATACCATCGTATTTCACCTACTTTATAATTCTGGAGGGTGTTCGGAGCAAAATCTCTCTGCAAAGTATATCATATTTTTTTAATATTTTAATTGATTTTTTGAATTATAAATATGTAAATGTATTTTCATAAATTCATGAGTCAAAATCTGAAATGTTTCCCATACAAATTTTCTGACACTTATATCAGTGTACTGCAAAACCCAATAGCAAGTTTTTTGTTCGTATTTCCTAGCAATTATTATAATAACCATCTATCCTTCTGTCTTCAATAATTCAGAAGTGAAAAAAGAATGAGATAGATTACACGATCAGTATGTACAGGTCCCAGCTAACAAAACAGCTAACAACATTGCCTTTGTTTGTAAGGCCCATTATTTTAATTGTATTTCAGAGCAAATGGGATTAATTCTGCAAGTGGTTATCCAACTTATACCCATAACTCCCTTTCTAAGGAGGAAATTCTTCAAAATCATAGTCAGTTTTAGATATTTAAATATTCCCAACAATCAAAATGATTTTGAATTACCATACCTATACTGGATTTCTAAACTTCATAAAATCCTTATAAACAATGATACATATGGGGTTCCAAGCCTCTTTCTATACTCCTCACTAAAATACATGTATTAACACCAGTGAAGGAGAAACTTCAGGAGTACTGTACAAAATTATATTCGAGAAGTTGTGTAAATCAGGTGTGGATACTTAAAAACTTCAAAGAACTTTTGGAAAATTTGAAATCACAAAATTTTACCGAAATTAATAACATAAAAACGTACAACTTTTCAGCACTTTATATAACCATTCACAGGTCACAAGGATAAATAAGAGTCCAAGCTTTTTGACATTTTAGACAACTGCCTTTTCAATAAAAATGGAACTCGTCAATTTACTTAACTTGTCATTTGCAAAATTATTTTGTTAAAAAACATTCTGATTGTATACACAAATACTCTGAAGCAGATATTAAAAATATGCTTGAGTTTCCGATTAACAATATCCATGTAATTTTTGGAGATCAGGTCTTCGAATAATCTGTCAGAATTCCCATTGGTAATCCGTTATTAGCAAACTTATTCTTGTTTTCATATGAAGCAGAATTTATTCAAAAACTTCTACATAAGAAGAAAACACTTGCTTTGGCCTTCAACTCGATATTTAGATATATCGACGATGTATTATCCATTCATATGTCAACTCGATATATCCCTGTGAATTTGAAATAAAAGATACCACAAAGTCTGACACATCTTTTTCATATTTGTATATTTTACTAGAAAAAGACGTTAATGGTTATCTAACAACAAAACTTTACGATAAACGTGATGACTTCAACTTTTCTATCGTCAACTACTCTTACCTTTGTAGCAATATACCATCATCACCTGCATATGGGGTTTATATCTCCAATTTGAATCGATACGCAAAAGCATTCTCCACATAAACAATTTCTCAAACGAGGCAAGCCATTGACAAACAAGTTGATGAAACAAGGATATCAATAGCCTCGTTTAAATTCATTATTTCGTAAGTTCAAAGGGAAATTCAAGGTTTAAATAATGCCCTTACAAGTAGTATGAAAAACGTGTCAGTCAGCATTCGACTTAATTACAGATTGTATTTGCTGACAAGGTCATTGTATCGACCATAGAACTTGCAAAACATTGACCTCAAACGAGACTTGATATCCTTGTTTCATCAACTTGTTTGTCATAGCTTGCCTCGTTTTAGACATGTTCTTATGTGGAACATGCTATTGCGTATCGAATCAACTGGGAAATATAAACCCCATATGCAGGTGATAAGAGTATATTGCTGCATAAGTAAGGGAAGGTGACGATCGAAAAGTTAAAGTCATTGAGAAACTACTTTATTATAGAAGCGTAGATTAAAAAGACTTTTTTTCATTACCTGATAAAAAAAAATAAAACAAATGTAGCCATTTGATTCAGTACAATCCCTAGATATATAGACCTTAGAGGGAAAAAAATCTCTAGGGAATGACCTCATCAAAAGGCTATATTTGCATAATACATTTTACTTTCGAAAATGTAATAGTCTTTTTTTAATCTTTGTTTCGAATGTTGTTTGCATTCTTTACAAAAGAATCCCTTAATCAATACTGAATGTAGAAGTCTTTTTACCGAAAAAATTATTTAAAATATGACCTGGATATAGATAGTTAGGATAAACAAACGACGATGACGAAATCTTACATGACAAATTTTAAGAAGTTAATTATCATTCAAAGACCAAAACGAACACATATATACAAAATTGTTTAATAAGTATTTTTTACATTGATGTAAATATAAAATTCTCATTGGTCAGATGTCTCCACCTTGCTTTATACTCATATACAAAGTGCAGAGGTTTAGTAATTTTTTAATCGCAAAAAGGAAAAGCTCAATAAAATTTAAAACAAAGGATGACAAAATTAATATTCTTTTACATTGGAAAACATCGTCAAGTTATCTTCTTCAACCTGGAATTTTCCGATTACTAGAAACAGAATTTTTGTACAATACCTTTGAAACTACTCATATTTCAAATATTTTCAGAAATATTTTTGCAAGAACTGTACCAATGATCTATCATTTACTTCCTTTCATTTAAATGCATTTGCATCCTTTCATTGATGAGCATTTTAAAATTAAATAATGAGAGAAGCAGACCTTGTTTTTTTTCTTTTTCCATCTCAGCTCTCCGATTGGTTCATACTAGGTTATGTTATCTTAAACGCAGCATCTCAATTTGTCATTTCTGCTAACGGGTATATTTCCAAAAAAGAATATTGACTTGATATTGCTATGCCAGGAAACAATTTTCCGTAAAACAATAACAATAGTGATGACTTCACAACACTTTATATACACTGAATTTCTGAAAACAGATCCATCTGTTTGTAGTTGTGATGTCACAATTTGTAAGATTAACAATGGCCTAAACTTGAAGCCAGCCTAAAATGATAACAAAGATGATATTTTTCATAAATTGATACACAAAATAATAAAACAGAAGTAGGTGTTGATTGTTTACAATCCCTAGATATATTGACCTCAGAGATCTAGCACTTCGTTTTCAATTATTTTTTCAGTTCGTTTTCAGTTCAGTTTTGCTTTCTCTGAGATCGACCTCGTCAAAAAGCTATATTTGTGAAATATTTTAATAAACTTCGAATTATTAATAGATGTTATCAGTGGTCATTGCTGTATCAGATAAAATTATGAGAAAAGAAAACACATACTATTTTCATCTCTTTGAGAACATATCATGACAGAGGATCCAAACACACAAATATAAACAAAAACACGGAAGGTTCTACACAGAAAATGTAAGTAATAGTGAAAACTTTTAACAAAATTACATCTGGAAATTGGTACCAAATTTTGTTTGCTTTTGCAATATATAATCAACATTAAATACTATTAATTATTTTGAATATTCATATTAAATTCATTTCAAACATATTTCACATCTACCTAAAGAAAATGACAACTGTGAGTGTTTATTTTAGCAAAGGGGGAGGGAGAGGGGGAAGAATGAAAACTGTAAACCCGAAAAGTAAAAAAAAATCCACAATGGTAATTGATAAGTGATATCATTTTATGCTTTGAGATTGATGAGGTGATAGGAGCAACTCTAGTCACGTGATGGCATTCTAATATCTTGTATCCGTTTGTTGGTTTTCCTAAGGTAAGCAAAAATTCCTATGGCTGTAAGAAGGACTCCTAGAATCACCATAGCAACGGCTATACCTGCTACAGAACCTAAAAAGTAAAGAAATAATAAAATAAAGTAAATTTTGAAATGGAATCAATGTAGCAGAGTCTGACAATGTATAAAGTGTAAGACGAATATTTGGTAAGTGTTTAATTTAACGTGAGCATGGGGTGAACGGCTTAACATAAGTTACAAAATGTATTTAAAAAATATGAAGATTGAATACAGCTTTAAAAAAACTTTTAAACTTAACGTGCTTTTCTGCACCAATTGAATACACATTTTGGAAAAAATTACTAGTATATTGCTAGAAGCAAAGAAAAGATATGACGAATTTTCCAATTTTATTTAAGTTTTTATATTCATGATATTTACTTTGTAGTACTTAGTTCTTCTCCTTTCTTGTACGAGAAAACAGTCTAAAGGCAATCAGGCATGTTACGAAGTAATTAACTTTTCACAGAACGTTTTTAATTGAATACCATTCCCGCTGAAGTATCTTCCACACGTCTTTTAGCCGTTGGTATCCCCCCCCCTCTCCTATTCCACACTAAATTGCTTTAAATCTTTAAATTCGACTTCTTTCGGGATTGCTTCCCAGCAATTGAGAAACTCTTTTGTGCTCATCAGAAAATACACCATTTGTGCTTGTTTAATACATTGGAATAACAAGCATTAATTCATGCATTCAATAGACCTAGCAGATAGCCTAACTGCTAGGCTTAATATCCACTATCTTGTTTAATATTCCCTATAAAACGATTTGCACGTATTATGTTTCAGCATATCATAACATAGAAAGCACAAGAGACTTTTTAAAACGAAATGTAGTTTTAACAATTTTTTGTCCTGGAATAGTCCTGATTTAAACCAAATAAAATCAATCGGGGTAAGATAAAATAGATCCGACCTTACGCAAAACATGCTTACAACTTATAAATTTAAAGATACGTGGAAAGTACTCTAGTGAGGACGGTGCTCAATTCAAAAAGGATCTGTGAAAATTTCATAACATGTCTTATTACATTTAGGTTGTTACTCGTGCAAAAAGTGAGCAAGTTTATTATCATCTTAAATTAAAAAAAAAATAAAATTACTAGTCTACAAATTTTTTGTCTGTGCCGTTGTTTGGAAGCAATATCTTCATTTCCAGAATATACTTATAACTAAATAAAGAAAGCACGTTAGGTTAAATTTTTTTGAGCTGTATGACATATCTTTCATCAATTTCATGACAAAGTATTCTGACATGGAATGACAGTTCCACTGTCTAATGTTCAATGGTTAAGGTAGTCCGATCCTCAGGTTCTGAAAATCAGCTTTTAAGTAATTGAAATGCTCACAAAAATGTCTGATTTCACATAGTAACTTGAATTTACCCATGGAATTTCTTCAAAGTTCATCATTATAGTTAATCATATTATATAGGGAAAATTATCAAATCTCAAATATATTTTCAAGAAATGCGAATAAAAACACCAGCTATGCATTTTCGAATTGAAAATTGGTCAACAAATATAATCTAGGATTGGAAAGTACATGTATAGGTATCCAGGCATTTGGAGAAAATTGCATCTTTTTTTTATGCTTATACAGTATTTTAGTTCTTTTTACTTCAATCTCATATAATACATAGTGTAAAAAGCTTGTGCTATCATTGCTAGACATCACATATCACATCTAATTTCATACATGTATCATGCTAATAAGCAGTAGTATCTAATGCTAGACTAAAGGAAATTCGATTTCTCTGAACATGAATTCATTTTTTTATGGGGTACAAATGTCAACATTTACAAGACCGTTTCTAAGACTTCAAATAACCTTGAATCATATTAAGATGCATAAAATGAAAATTGTTGCACGAAAAGATCTCAATTTCAAGCTTCATTTTGAGACTTTTTAAATAAAATAATAAATTTAAGAGTTATCCTTTCTGGTTGAGGATCGGATATCCTTACTTGAGGACATGTTAGTAGAGGTTGATTTCTGGGAATAATACTGCTGAGGATTGGACACATATCCTGTTCCATCAGGGAAATATTGTCCTGTAACAGCGTCCGAGAATTACATAGTTATACATAAAATGATTTTGACTTCTAATATCGATATATAAATGTTGTAAAGCTTACACTTGAGAGGCAATGTAATTATAATTGATCAAAAAGAGAATATATGAGGACCTAAGATCAGAATATTATATACATGTAGAATAAAACAAAAATATTATTATAAGATTGAAAAAGACATTTAGCTCTGTTGGTTTTCTTTGTGAAAAAAAACAAAAAACATTTGATATTAATTACTTGTATACAGGTCGCAGGTGGCACTAGCAGTTGCTGATACCTGACCAACGTTCTTTAAGGAAGCACTGGTCAGACGACACAGTGACTGCATATCACAGTATGAAAACGAGGCACAACTTCCCGCCTCTGTATCAACACAACTTTTAGCACACTGAGCCAAAGTGACACCAGTCACTACTCGGTCATTTACAAGTTGTATTGTTTTGAGTGCTGTCCTCGTGAAATCATCGATGTAATTTCCTAAAAATATACAGACGTTGTTAGTTAAAAAACGAACACCCCCCTCATACTTTTGAACACAGCAAGATATGCTCATCATAAAAATTCAACAATTTTATATACTCCCATTAAGAAACACGCTTGACATACTTGAGTAGTGGTTGCACATAGGATTGGATATAATATCGGCTTTTGGTACATCAAACACATGTGTTTTCCCCAGAAAACATGTTCCAATATCGGAACAGTAATCGAATGATTTGCAGTTGAAAGCTTGGTAGTTGTCGCAGAGCTTAGCACACTGATTCGTGTCATATATTTGCTGGTAAATCACATTAGAGGAAGATAGCACGGTCTGTCCAGGAAGCTTAGTGAATTTACTGGTATAGTCTCCTTCAATGAAAATATTTTGAAAAATTTACTGGTGTAGTCTCCTTCAACGAAGATATTTTTAAAAATGTTCAATCAGCCTGTATCTTTTTGATATTAAACAAAAGAAAAGTTGCTTCTAATATATATATTTGCATATTGATATCATGTCCCATTCATTTATACTATTTCTGAAATAGTTAGAAGTGTGTTTTACAAATGATAATGAAGATTTTGATTATTTATTTACTTATGTATAGATCTGTCCCTTGAATGCCTTTTATGACTCTTGGGTGTTCGTCAGGATGGAGATGAGAGAGGAAGCAGGTGCCCGTTAACAATTCATACTCAAACGACTGACACACAAAGGAAGTCTGGTCTACGCATGCTTGGGCGCAGTCATCAATGGACTGACCACTTAGGATGTTGTCGTCAAAATTAGGAACATACCTATTCGGCATACTTTTAAAGGATTGTAGGGTTTTAGCTGAAAATTACAAGAATATTATATTAAGCAAGACCAAAGATAACTGTAATGACTTACTGAATTTAGAGGATTTTACAGGCGAAGAAATGTTCAGTAATTAAAGAATCAAACAGTGCGTAGTGGAAATCAAATATATGTAAATGTGATCGATATTTTAACAGGGTTTAAAGATTGTAAATTGTTGACTGAAAATTCAAGTATTGTAAAGCCAAGTGATGTAATATTTTAATAGAAAGATAGACTTTCTATATACAAGACGTAAATTAAAGAACACATAGACACGAGAATTGAAGACCTAGAGCGTACATGATAAAAACTAAAGAAAGGTTTTGTATAAGATAACAAGAGGCTGAAGGGCCTTAACGGTCACCTGAGTATAATACAACACTAAAGGATCTATGGAAGTATAAAACAAAATTAACTGATAGACGAAGCAATGTTGCTAAAGAATTTCAAACATAGGTAATCTAAGATTACGAAGCTCACCTCGACAAATGTTATCTATAAGTAAGGCAAATCTCACATCATATTTTTTTCTAGTTAGTATACATCCCAAGATCAATATCCATGCAAGTTTGGTTTAAGTAAGAATTATAGTTACTTGGAAAAAGACCTGCTCCAAAAACTTTAACTTGGTCACTCATCTGGAAAATCTAGGTCAGATCCAGCATCCGAAGCAAGTGTGGTAGTGTCCATCCCTAGATGCATCATCCATGCAAGTTTGGTTCAGGTAGGGCTTATAGTTACTTGGGAGTGGACTTGCTCCTAAAACTTTAACCGGGACGCCAACGTCGGAGGTATAGTATGAGCTCATCTCGACTTCGTTGAAGTGAGCTAAAAATCTGGTAAAAATACCCTTGCTTATTGTAATGTGCTAGACCCGATTGATCTCCTTTGGATCATACTTGGTTTTCCCAAGTTTTACAGGGATGATAATGAATGCAAAATATACAAATACAAAGAACACTTGCCTATTGTGTAAGGTATTCAATATATACAGATATTTTTTTGTCACTTGCCTAGTGCTACAATTCAGTACACACAGACTTGGGTATATACAACGTGGTTATTTGCCACTTGTCACTAATTACAATAAGTCACTCTGGCCCTCTGCGATTCTTTGTTCACTTTGATAAAGTATAAAACAACATCCAGTCTCCTGTCAACCACAACTCCTCTACAAGTGACACTAACTTAGATCACCACATAGTATACATACTGTGTACAATTACAACTTTTGCAACATATATAAATAATCTTTATGTCAATCTTTTATACTGCTTTCCAGGCAAGAATCTGACTTTGAGCATGCTTTGCTCATTTAAACCAAACATTCATTTTATTTTGTTTCTATATATATATAACATTCTTTCTTGTATTCTCATTCAATCAAATAACCTGTTAATTAAATTATATACAAGGATTTCTTGATTAACAATATTTAGCAAAGGGGAGTAACTCTGCTTCACATCACAATTGTGTACTCTGTCTCCTAGATAACCACAAGCAAAGAAAAGGCACATTTACTTACAATTAAATTTAATACATGTATTTACATTGATATTATTGCATTTAGCTTGTTTGCTTAGTACTCAGGGGCAGAGGAGAAGTTTTTCAAAGCATTGATGCATTTTGCTAATTAATCAATAGAACCCCACCCAAGCTCAAGAACACCTGACCCAGGGGCCATGAAATTCAAAATTTTGGAAGAGGCATCCTTTCTCATCATAACTATGTATTTAGTTTGTTTAATTAATACAAAGGGGCAGAGGAGAAGATTTTCAAAGCATTAATTTATTTTCAGTATATAATAAATAAGCCCCCCCCCCCCCCCCCCAACATGGAACCCCTCACCAAGAAGGGCCATGAAATTCACAATTTTGGAAGAGGCATTCTTGCTCATCATAGCTATGTACTTAATTCATCGGCTTAATACCCAGGAGCAGAGGAGAAGATTTTCAAAGAATTAATGCATTTTCACTATATATTCATTAGAACCCCGCCCTAACACCAGAACCCCTGACCCAGGGGCCATGAAATTCACAATTTTGGAAGAGGCACTCTTGCTCATCATGAGTATGTACTTAATTCATTGGCTTAATACCCAGGAGCAGAGGAGAAGATTTTCAAAGAATTAATGCATTTTCACTATATATTCATTAGAGCCCCGCCCTAACACCAGAACCCCTGACCCAGGGGCCATGAAATTCACAATTTTGGAAGAGGCACTCTTGCTCATCATGAGTATGTACTTAATTCATTGGCTTAATACCCAGGAGCAGAGGAGAAGATTTTCAAAGAATTAATGCATTTTCACTATATAATCATTAGAGCCCCGCCCTAGCACCAGAACCCCTGACCCTGGGGCCATGAATTTCACAATTTTGGTAGAGAGCTCAATGCTTATTACAATCATGCCAACAGTTTGACTGTTTGATGTCCAGGAGTAAAGAAGAAGATTTTTAAAGATTGCATTAATTTTGATGGTTTTAGCCCCACCCCTCAGGCCCCAGGGGGGCAGGGGCCATGAATTTCACAATTTTTACTCCCCTTCACCCATAGATGCTACATGCCAATATTGGTTGAAATTGGTTCAGTGGTTCCAGAGAAGAAGCTAAAAATGTTCAAAAGTTTACGACCAATTGACGACGAACGACGTACGACGAACGACGACAGACAAAAACAGATAGCAATAGGTCACCTGAGTGACTCAGGTGACCTAAAAATTCAGGAATTGTGAAAAGTAAGTTTGGATTTCAAGAATTGCAACATATATTCAAAAATTGTTTGAAAATTTTGAAAAACGCAAGATACAAATTGAATATAAAACAAATGCTTGGTAAAAATGAAAAGTAAGGGAACTGTGCTATTTTAAAATATAAACAACCGAGTTTATGTAAAAGAAATATTAAGTAGTGGCAAAAGTGAAAGAATAATAAAGCAATGAGCATAATGAAGTAAATTCATTATGTTCAGCCTTAAAATTGCAGGATTGTAAGGCCGTGGGCAAAATTTAAGATTATGCCTGAACAGAATAAGTTTGCATATGATGTGTTTATTAAAGAATATAATATACTGGTTCAAAAGGTTTGTACGACACTGATTGAAAAATTAAGGATTGTTGATTTATAATTGAAAAATGAAAGGATTCTGTAAGACAATGGCTGAAAATGAAAGGATTCTGTAAGACAAAGGCTGAAAATTAAAAGATTGTAAGGCAATGGTTGAAAATTAAAGGATTGTAAGGCAATTTTGATAATTAAGACTGTAAGGCAATGGTTGAAAATTAAAAGATTGCATGTAAGACAATGGTTGAAAATTGAAGGATTGTAAGGCAATCTTGATAATTAAGACTGTAAGGCAATGGTTGAAAATTAATAGATTGTAGGGCAATGGTTGAAAATTAAAAGATTGTAAGGCAATGGTTGAAAATTTAAAGATTATAAGACAATGGTTGAAAATTAACGAATTGTAAGACAATGGTTGAAAACTAAAAATTGTTAGCGATGGTTGAAAATTAAAGCACTGTTAGGCAATGGTTGAAAATTAAAGGACTGTTAGACAATGTAGAAAACAAAGAGATTTTAATCAGTAAAGTAGGCTATTATAAAACAATAGATGAATACTCATAATAAAGATTAAATGTCAAATAGTTGAAAATTAATGGAAATATAAGGCATTGATTGAAGTTTTAGGATTGTAAATCAAATAATTTTTTTGTACAAAATTAAAATAAAAGAATTTTTGCATGGAAACCAGATGTAAATTAAAGATTTGCAAGATACAAATAATTGCAAGATACCGGGAAAAAAGTAAAGAAGCATGTAAGGGATACATGTAATAGTAGTGGTTACCGTTGAAAATTAAAGGACTGTAAGATACTGGTTGAAAATTATAGGATTGATTAGCATTAGATTAATTGAAAGGATTAACTGGTTTTGAATAGGCTAGAACATTTTCTCAATGATGTATTTTTAACCCTATTGAGTACGTACTGGATGATGGTGGGAGATCTGTACTGTCTATCACATCATTTGAGATGTCTTGTGCTGTATAGGTCTTGGTCTGCAGTTAGATTAAAAAATAAAACAAAGATATAATTTAGTCATAGGTAAATCCCGCTTAATGTCCATTCTTATTTTCATTTGAAACTAAGTGATGACTTTTCTGGTTACAATCATTCAACATTAATAAACACGTTTTGAAGCCGATATTCCGATTTTTTTTCTGCTGTGATTGTATATATATACATATAGCACCTAAATACTCAATTAAATGAAAGAAAAAGTGAGCAAGCTCACATACCCCACGCTTCCCCAAAACTCGACAATGCAACACGTAATGAATGGCACAGTGCATTTTAAATACACAGTATAATTCAAAAAAGGGGCATTACTTGCAAAAAATCATCACATCAAAACTTCTTGCATATAAGGACATTCAAATCTTTGTATGTTACAAATTTAACTGGGCTGAAGTTTCTAGATAAATAATGGAATCAAAATTTCTTGGTAATATACAAATCTATACATTATTCTGAAATACCTACAAAGTTTCAGGAAATTCAGTGCCGGAATTATGCTGACAAACTGTTATTTAAATTCCTCAGTGATTTCGATTTGTTAATGAGTGTAAGTCCATGTCCAACACATGACAGTTTACACATTTAAATAATTGATGGAAGCAAAATTATGATGTAGTCATATGAATCTGTTTATATACTGTACTTATGAAATTATTTAAGGCAAAGCACACCAATTTGAAGGGGGGGGGGGGGGAGAGAGAGAACTATCGAAGATGGTGTGTGTGTGAATGTGTGTTTGTGTTAAACCATTAATATTTTGATCTCAAAATCAATAGGGGTCTTTTAAGGTCATAAAATATTTCACATAGAATTTCATTATAAAAAGCTGATTCCAGTGGAGTTTCTTATTTCCTAGCTGGAAAGTTTCTTCAATAAAAGGCAAAACTCTTAAGGCAAAAATAATGGAATCGGAATTTCCTGGTAATATGCACATCTACACACTGTGTCCTAAATATCTGCAAAGTTTGTCCAAATTCTGTGCAGCGGTTTAAGAGGAGTTGTGCTGACAAACTGTTCATCTCTATATTCAAGATATGGCCAAAAACCTAAGTTGAAAAGTGCCGAAATTCCCAGAAAAAATAACGGAATCAGAATTTCCTGGTAATATGCACATCTACACACTGTGTACTAAATATCTGCAGAGATTGACCAAATTCTGTGCAGCGGTTTAAGAGGAGTTGCGCAGACAAACTGTTCATCTTTATATTCAAGATATGGCCAAAAATCTAAGTTGAAAAGTGCTGAAATTCCCAGAAAAATAATGGAATCGGAATTTCCTGGTAATATGCACATCTACACATTGTGTCCTAAATAGCTGCAAAGTTTGACCAAATTCTGTGCAGCGGTTTAAGAGGAGTTGTGCTGACAAACTGTTTATCTCTATATTCAAGATATGGCCAAAAATCTAAGTTGAAAAGTGCCGAAATTCCAAAAAATATAAAGGAATCGGAATTTCCTGGTAATATGCACATCTATACATTGTGTGCTAAATATCTGCAAAGTTTGACCAAATTCTGTGCATTGGTTTATGAGGAGTTGCGCTGACAAACTGTTCATCTCCATATTCAAGATATGGCCAAAAATCTAAGTTGAAAAGTGCCGAAATTCCCAGAAAATATAAAGGAATCGGAATTTCCTGGTAATATGCACATCTATACATTGTGTCCTAAATATCTGCAAAGTTTGACGAAATTCTGTGCAGCGGTTTATGAGGAGTTGCGCTGACAAAAAAACAGGACTGACGGACTGACTGACTGACTGACTGACACACTGACTGACTGACTGACTGACGGACGGGTCAAAAACATTATACCTCACGCAACTTGTTGCGTGGGGTATAATTAAATACTTCTTGTGAAACTGAATTAGTATTAATATCCAAATTTTACAAAAAAGCCTTTCAAATCTATATATCTGAATTTTAATTGAAAATAAAAGTACGATGATTAGACTTGCATTTTTGTTGTATTTGATGTTAATTTGGAAGAGCTGTTTAATGACTCCATTCTTCAGGTTCTGCCAAGCGTCCGGTAGTGATACCTCGACGAATGAATTGCTTCCCAGAGAACCTGTTGACCCAGAAGGTAATACTTAAAGTAATTGAGACCGAAGGTTAACGTATATATTGCTTCAAAAGTCTGATAATTTTGAAATCATTTTAAAAAATAATTACTCTGCAACTTAACATTTCAATTAAAGGTGTATATAATCTTTCTTTTTTTGTTTACTCTTTTTAAAGAATAAACTAAACCAAAACCATCGTATTATTCTCAACCATTCAAAATAATGTGCAAGTTTTATTTGCAAGTAAAGAAGGAGTTTGCTTTCAAGCACACAATATCTTTTCGTTGATGTAATATACAATTCATAATGGCGGCTTAGAACCTACGGTCGTATAGATCGCACGACTGTGTAGAACTGACGACGGTCCCATCTGAGGTGTGGATCTTACTGAGGGTACACACTTTGGATGTGGGACAGTACTCAAAACTGTTACAGGTAAAGTTGGTGTTTTGACTACAGAGGGAAGCACACATATCCGGTGTCATGATATTCTGAATAACAGCGTCGTTGTTGTACTGAACCATCTTTCCCGGTAACTTCCGGTACCGCTCTATACAAAAATTAAATTTTTGCACTGAATAATTGTACCTACACTGGATTCCAAAACATAACAAAACCCTTATTGATAAAGATACATGTATACATATATGTTAGGGTCCTGTAAATATTCTACCAAGCCCTTCTCTTTACTCCTCATAACAGTTTAACTTCTAAGAAGGAGAAAATTCAGATGTGCTGTGCTACAAGATATTCGAGAAATGGTATAAATCAAATGTGCATTCTCCAAAAGTCCAAAGAACAAAAATGAGTAGCATCAAACTTACGGCTTTTGTTACTTAATACACTAACTCCCCACGAAAAATTAAAGATCATACTCTTTGATATGAAAGACAACTGTTGCTTCTTCCATGAAGATGGAACTCGTAAATATTCATAATTTCTTTTAAATCATCAGAAATATTCTTTGATAAAAATCAGACTGAATCTACATACACATACTCTGAAATTTATATTTAAAAGAATCTGTACTTCGCCATTGACAATATCTATGTTGTATTTTTTGGAAACTAGGTCTCCCAACAATTCATGAAATTCTTATGGGCACAAACTATTGTACTTGATTAAATTTACTTTATTAATCGATCAGTTTCTTATATTCTTATGAAACAGAAAAAATTAGCAAACATCTACACTGAGATATGACCATTAAACAATGAGACGCTTTATTTCTTAACACATATAGTAATAATTTTTGTTCATATATCGACTCGATATAACCAAGTAAATGACGCAACAGAGTTACCAGATCTGTTTCTTATTTGAATGTTTAACTGAATATAGACGTTGATGGCAAACTAATAACTAAACTATATGACTAAAGGGATGACTTCACCTCTTTCCATATTTATGATGCAACATGCCATTATATTCTGCTTATGATGCTTATGTCTCCAAATTGTTTGGGCATACTTCATACTAAATGTTAGGCTATTGTTTTCAAACTACTTTCGATTAATTCAGATCAAGGGCTCATGACAGGTGTGAATGGTCCACAGGGGATGCCTACTCCTTCTAGACTTATGTATTTCCAGAGATCTATGTTTTCACCCTGTTTTTCCGATTTGTATTGTTTATAATATTTGTGAGATTGATCTAATAACGGTTCTTTGTCTTAATTCATTTCACTGGATATATATACTCTGTATTTATATTTTGTTTTAATAATGATCAAACATTAACAATAAATGTTTTAAATTAAAAAAAGGATAAAAATAGATTAACGTACTTAGTACTGGGGCTCTGTCCACCAAAGTAGCGATGAAATACGCGTTGCCGGACTCCATATGGAAGCTGGGTTTTGTAATTCTAATGGGAGTTACTCCTGCTATACTTGCTGCCAGAGAAATGGATTGATACAGGAAGATGTCCTTGTACGTCCTGACCTTTCTGTCAAAATTACCTTAAAACAAATTTCTGTTGGTTAATTTTAGTACAAATTGTAATTAATCCTTTTTTCAAAAGTATCAGTACAAAGTACAAAGGAATGTATTTAAGCGTACTGATTGTTTTCTAATTAGCCTTTAAATATCTAAATTTAGTCTAAGTCACATTACTTACCATAGAAAGTTATCCTAAAGCCCATTTTATTTTGAATGGAGTAACATGTGCTGACGTCATAGCTAGTAATGGCGGGTTCCTCTGGATCATAGTCATAAATGCTGTAAGTCACCATATAGGGAATCTGTAAATAAGCACTAGTCAAGAAGATAAAATAGTCATAAATATCCCCATCTTAAAAAGTCATGATATTTATTTTTCAAATCCTTTTTGTATTTTGAAGACCAAACTTTACAGTCAAATCTATTATGTTTAAGCTCATATAAAATTGTAAAAATGAGGTATTGTTGAATATCGTTTTTTTCCTGTTTTAATGTTCCGTAGTATGAATGGAATGGCTTGACCTGATTTTAAAGCATATATTGAAATTGATTTACTTTGAAGTGTACTCACGCTTGGAACATTAACGTTTAGCTGGACTGGAATGTCCCTGACTTGAGAAACCAGATTTCCATCGTTATTCCTCTGTATCTGGTCTTGCTATAGAAAAATTCTAAGTCTCATCATCGATGTAAACATTACTTAATTATTTGTAGAGGATAGAACACACAGTATGAATAACACAACTATACGATATTTACTTTATCTTATTTATTTTCAAACACTTTTGCAGAGCATAGATGATATTCAAGAGAACACAAAAACATTTTTTTCGTAATTTTGTACCTTTTCTTTTCTTAATGGATAGTGTAATCATGAGATGCAAACTGATCATTCTTTCCTAAATTTCTATTTGTCAAAAAAATGATTAATTTTCACACGGAAATGATTTACCGAAAGAAAGTAGAACTCCAGTGTGGCATTGATGGCTACACCTCCTAACATAAAGTCTGACCTCTGTCTGATGAAGACATCACACTGCTCACCACGGGCGTACCTCTACAACAGAAAGTCAAACAATGACTCTCCAAAACAGTAGGTAACTAAAGACTTATCCCTGTCCACTGCGGGCGTACCACTTCAACAGAAAGTCAAGCAATGGCACTGAAACAGTAGGTAACTAAAGACTTATCCCTGTCCACTGCGGGCGTACCACTACAATCGAAAGTCGAGCAAAGACACTCAGAAATAGTAAGTAACTAAAGACTTATCCCTGCCCAATGCTGGCGTACCTCTACAACAGAAAGTCAAGCAAGGACACTGAAACAGTAGGTAACCAAAGACTTATCCCTGTCCACTGCGGGCGTACCACTACAACAGAAAGTCACACACAGACATTCTCACAAGTAAGTTACTTAAGACATCATACTGTCCACTGCTGGCGTTCCTCTACAACAGAAAGTCACACAGACACACTCAAACAATAAGTTACTCAAGACATCATACAACCCACTGCTGGCGTTCCTTAACAACAGAAAGTCACACATAGACATTTTTGAACAGTAAATTAGAGACATCAACTGCTCACTACGGACGTATACTTCTACAACAAAAAGTCACACACTGACTCTCTCCTTCAAAGATTTTGTCAGATTTTTTTCACAATTATTAAAGTTAGTTCCTGTGTCATTTCGAGAATAAAGTAAACTGTAGATATATTGAGCTAATCTTATAGTTAGAAAACAATTTCCACAAGGATACAGCAGAAATTACACAATGACTCCATGATATATAAGGAGGATCACTTCATTTACTGTTTGCATATAAAAGATATCCTACCTGTCCGGCATATGTATAGTTATTGTCGATGTAAAAGAGATCTTGTGGGCTCTTCATCTTGAGGACAAATTGTTGGTGGTTGGCTGCCACACTGACGTTTAGGGAGGTGTCAAAGGAGACGTTCATGATAGGTATGATAGAACAGTTAGCCATGATACGATCGATGACGTAAGCTACACCTAAATTCAAATAAATTTCTATTGTAAATAATGTGGAGGGAACCTCAACCGTGTCAAAGATGAAGTGAAGTTTCTCTATTGCTTTATTTATAATTCCGCTATTATGCCTACCTGTATTAAAATCATGAATTTCCGTGACGGCATCTGTGTTGTGGTAAGGAGCTGCCGGGGAAGATGGTCGAAAATCATATCTTACAAGCTTAAGATTATTATCATACCACACCTAAGGAAAATAAAAAGACAAAAAGACAGGTTTATTACGTACAGAATTTGTTGAGATGCATTTTCAGGTGACTTCAACTTTATGAATGTAAGACTACATTTGAAAATTTGGCGCCACGTAACTTACATCAGCGGTAGTGGATACACCTGATTTAGGAACAATCTCCTCTCGGTAGACAAAGGCCTGAGTGAGTTGTGGGGGAGGGCGCACCTGTGTGCGGTTAGCACACACTACCATAGCTGGCGTCTGGTAAAAGAAAATTCACCTTTCATAGAACAGTAATGCGTTTTCCTCGCAGATTTCAAACAACAAATTCTCGATTCCGGAAAAATTCTATCCTCGTAACAGAGTTTTGAGAAACTAAAGAACTTATTACTTCAAAAACAGTTGTATCATCCGGTGGTGCCGTACGAAATTCCGTGTAGTCATAGACATGGTGGAACTTATGTGGTCCGCTTGCCATTTGTCTGTAGCCGAAGACTTCAGCCCGGACTGGAACTTGAGGAATCGCAGCAGGGGTTACCCAGTTTTTAGCTATAATGTAATTTTAGGATTCCATAAAAGCCTTCTGTCATTACAGACACATAACAAAAACTTTTCCTGTGTTCTGATTACCCAGGAAAACTAAATGCTACGATCGGTTAATATAATTGTTTTCTTATTCTTGCCTATTTTATGAACGATAAATAAATATCTTCTGATTTTTCCACTGCATATAATGAAAGTGCAAACAAGATTTTACATTCTTCTTTTTCTCATATATTTAGTTCTACTTCGCCACGGGAAATCTGATGTTGGAAACCAGAATCTTGGCAATTCCCTTATGATCTTACATCATTATAAACCATAAATTGTTTTGCAATCAATATAAAGAGAAATTCCATAAAGGGTGGTAAAGTTGTTCTTACTTGTAAAGTAGTAATCCAGTGTGAATGTGGAGTTGACCTGAGGCCAGGTTAGGCACGTTCTCCAGTAGTCACAGAGAATTCCACGGACAGTTGCCTGGCCCATATAAGTCTGCAAACATTATACATGGATCGGGGTTGTTATCTTACTAAGTCATTGAATTATCTGATTTCAAAATGGTTTGCTCAATCGACATCGAAAATGAGCGGAACATATTATCCAATCATAGAATAGGGATTATTGTACGTGATACCTGTCCTTGAGTGGCGGCGAATTGCAGAGCATCCATTGTGTTAAAGACATGGAGATGGTTGGAGAGCTTGATGTTTCCAAAGAACACGTTATTGGTGTCTGTTGTAAGGTTGTGGGTATAACATGACAGATCCGCTACAAACAATACAAACATCAATCTTAACCATAAGAACAGGCTTAGTGGAAAGCCAGTGTTTCCACAGTAACATGAATCCACATTAAATGTTACAAAAATTAAAGTATTATCTTTCTTATGTTACAAGGTTCTCACGGTTGACATAGAAGAGCTCATTAGTGTTGTAGTCGTAAATAAGTTTGTAGAGGTAGCCAGACATTAACATAAAGAGTGCGGCTCGGTTGTTGCCGTAGTCGAAGTATTCTTCCGCCGACACAGTCATGTTGCTTTCGCCTATAACGGCTTCTATCTTTGTGGTAAACGTGTTGACTCCAGCTAATGATGGCATTTGTGGCGCTGAGTAGAATATATACATGTAAAATAAGTTTTTAGAATGTCTTTACGCCCTTATAGAAATGATAAATTCAAAATTTTTCTAGATCAATAAAGGGATATTCTTATACTGTCGCTCGTATTCTATTGTCTCTAAGTGAGCGATTGTTTAATCACCATAGTTAACAGTTTATTTTAAAATTTCATTAATGGTTGTGATTTTAGGTTATCTTTAATTCAATCTACAAATTAAGGGAAAGACCATTGTTATGATAATTTCAATTTAAGATGAATCATTAAATTCCATTTAGAAGAATCTTGTGATGTCTTCTCATGAAATGGGTTAAGAAAATGTAACCAAACGTGTAATTTGACTCAAAATTGAGAATTAAAACAAATGATTTTTGATCAATTAATCACACATTGTGAATTTTATTCAGCTGGTCAATCAATCAATTAATCAACTATTTTAAAATGCTGATGTTACGATTTGCAGCTGGCGTTACACCGGGGGCACGGACTCCTGGGTGACATGTGTAGAGGCTGCTGTCATCTGACGTCACACACGTGACAAGGAACAGCAGCAAAACTAAATACCAAAGCTTCATCTATAAAAAAGATGAATATTTTTTTTCTTATGAAAACAAATTTTCGTTTTAAAGGAAGTGATCGGGAAATGTAAAATTGAGATGTCAAAAAAATGGCACGGAATGTACAGATCAATCAATTACCAAGTAGAAGAATAAACTAATGTACGAGTTAGACTTATTCGAAACACCAATGAAGGAATAAACTTCACCCTAAAGGGAATCTTATATGATATTATGATTTACAGTTGTCAGTGCACTGTAAACGACATAGTCCTTCGCGTCATGTGTGCGCAAATGGTTACATTTGCCGGGTGATTTACATGGCATCAACTATGATCGGCCAAAGCTGATCACAAAAAATTCAGTGACGTTTTGGCATACTAAGCGTTTAAATCCAGGAAATTACATTTATTTAACGTACAAAGAATCAAAATTAAGTTACTGTATCGTATCATTAAAAGAAGCTTTGTACAAAATGGAAAAATGGAAAAAAGAAAAGATATTTAATCAACTAATCATAAATGATAATACAAACAGATCCAGGGAAAATAAACAACTAGTGACTAAGGACAGAAATTTTAAATTTCGTACCGATAAGCAATGTTTTGCTACTTCGATTAAGTATTATCTTATCAGTAAAAAAAGCACACACTTTTTTCAAGCAAAGCCATCAACTTTCATAAAGTGTGCGATATGTTTTCTCGTTTCATTTTTGATGATTTAACTAGATCTAAATCATAAACAGTCAATCCGACTCCATCCTATAATGAAGATTACGTAACAGATATGTAGTACAAGTTTCATTGGTCATTCCAAAGAAACTTGGTATTTTATAGACAAGATACATACTTAATACAGTAGGGTGGATTTGGGGTTGTGATTTGAGTAGTAAGGGTGTGGTATACATATAGAAAGAAATAAAACTTACCTAGTTATGTGTTTTGGGGTACAGTTAATATTCTTAACAGGGAGGACGGAGATATTGAACTCTGCTCTCCCATCAAACGAGGTTTATCAGAAGCCTCTGATAGTAATCAGTGTACAATGTAAAGAAAAATATGGAGATATCGTAGTCAAGTTACATTGAGATTAGTCATTAACAAATCTATTTTAATTTTCTTTACACCCAATTATCACTTTGAAAATATTTTAAGCATTTAATTGAGAGAAAAATTAAATAAATCATTAATCTTGTGTTTGTTTACATACGTGATATAAGAGTACGTTACAGTAATTTACACCAGTATACGTATGAAACCAGTACAATCTATTCGTACTGCCATCTGAAATATTTATCTACGTTATCTATCGATACCTTACAAAACCCTGCAAGAACGAGTAGTTCAGAGTTCAGACACCCCGATTTTAACCGTCCCTCTGCGTACCGCCCCAGAGACAGTCATGATGGTGAGTAACCACGCCTTATAGGCTTTTTTTTTTTAAATCAAATTTGGTGAAATTGTATTCATTGATAATTAAGAAAAAGACTGGAATAAATACGATGAAAGAGAAGCGTGATTTCCAATTGAATTTTACTTTTTAAAAAATAAATGAATATATAAAAGAGAGGAAAACTATCCTCATTGTAAAGTATCATTTAAAATGTTATTCTGTTTTTAGTCTGAAGTATGATTTGTATTCTTTTCTTTTCTAAAGACACAATTATATTGCAGAAATTATTCTAATGCTAGAAATAACCTTTTTTATTGCCTGTTAATGTTTGATGAATTGGTCACATTTAATACAAAGCTGTTATAATAGGGTAATGCAGGGGCGGATCCAGCAATTTTTGAAAAGGGGAGACAGGGTGGTGCCCCCCCCCCCTCAAACACACACACACACACACACACACACACACACCCTCACACACTCAAACATAGAATCACACACACAGGGAGAGAAAAATCATCTTAGGCCGCGGTAAATAATACGATCATCGTTTCAAGTCCTTTAATTCTTTGAAAGGATACCCTCCACAAACACATTCTAAAAAATATTTTTGCCTTAAATTTGAATGGATTTACAATATTTCCAAATATACAGAGAAAAACTATTGAGAATTTGACAGACTTGTTTGTTTTTTAAACTGGATTTTCTTGAAAACCAACCCACCGGCGATCGTAAAACAAAGCATTAATTTACTGTGATGATATGTGAGTCTATGGAATATGAGCATTTTCGGTCGATCGAGCTGATTTGAACTACTTTTATATTCAGAACGTACTAAACGTAAAAATGTCTATTCCAGAAAACGTTTTATCTTCCCTCCCTCTCTATCTTTCTCTCCACTTGGCAAAAAATAAGGGGGAGGGGGGTTTCTAACCTCCCCTCTAGATCCGCCAATGTGACATAAAATTAATAACACTATTTTTGCTGCTGTCCACACATTCATAGGTTAAACCTACAGATATTTTATCAATGAATGTATGGATAGCAGCGTTTATTAAAAAAAGAGATACATCTTTAAATTAGAGAGATATTTGTTTTGAACAGATCTCAGATTTTATTGAATATAAATCAAAAGGATTGCAAGCGAGTTCTTACAACTAACTGGTTCCTATCCCTTAATATAAATGTTTCTATACGACATGAAAAACAAAAAAGTGAAATATTAAAAGACGTTAAATTGATGTGAGTGGAATGAAATTTAAAAACAAGCAATTTCTTTTTTTTGACTAAATAATAAAAGGGCTTGTTATATATCTTGATAAAATGGTTGCCATGGCGTATTCTTATAGTAGAGGCCCATTGGTCACATCGCTCACCTGAGCACTTAGTTAGTGAAAAGCAGAAATCAGTATTGAAAAGTTTAAATATATAAGTGGCCCCACCCTACCCCGGGAGGGGCAGGGGAGGGGTCATGATCTGAACAAACTTGGATCTACGCTAACTAAAGATGCTTCCATATTCATAAGACTAATGTGGCTCTACAAGATTTTTATAGATTTTTCTCTTATATATTCCAATGTAAAAGTTTGATCTTTTATTGTGGCCCAGCCCTATCCCAGGGGTCATAATTTGAATAAGCTTGAGTCTTAACTACCTGAGGATGCTTCTATATTAATATCACCAATCATTGCTTAATTTGCTGTTGAGGAGAAGATTTTTAAAGTTTTTCCTATATATTCCTGTGTAAAACTTTTATGTAAAACCTAGCCCCAGGGGCCATGTTTTGGACAAACTTGAATCTACACTTCCTATGCTTCCATATAAATATATATTATCGTGATTAGTTGCTCTTGAGAAGAACATTTTCTCTATACATTCCTTTTTTAAAACTTTGATTGCCCATGGTGGCTCCACCCTACCCTCAGAGGTCATGATTTAAACAAACTTGAATCTACACTACCTGAGGATGCTTTCATGTAATTATAACTAATCATGGCTTTGCTGTTCTTGAGAAGATTTTAAAAAAAATAATATGTATTTCCATGTAAAACTTTCTTCACCCATTGTGAAGATATTTAAAGATTTTTTCCTATATATTCTTATGTAAAACTTTGATCACCAATTGTGGTCCCATCCTAGTCCCGGGGGTCATGATTGGAACAAACTTGAATCTACACTATTTCATCTTTTCTGACCCAGTGGTCATTGAGGAGGTTTTTTTAAGATGACATGAATTTTTCACTAATTCTTAATTATCTCCCCTTGAAAGAGGGCGTGGTACTTCTTGTAAAAAAACAAACACTTCAATACCCCTTATCCAAGGATGCTTTGTGGCAAGTTTGCTTGAAATTGCCCCCCTGGTTCTTAGAAGAAGTCGAAAATGTGAAAAGTTTACAGACGACGGATGACACACGACAGACGGACGCCGTACACACTTAGATCAGAAAAGCCCACTTGAGCCTTCGGTTCAGGTGAGCTAATAAACAAATCTGACGTACTGTTTTCTCCCCAGCCATTACAGTTGAAATCTGAAATCTCACAACATTGAACATACTAGTTGTTACCTGTACATGAAATCACTCTTCTATTGTTAATGTGACATGGTCGATATACCGGTAATACAGGATCACGTACAAAGAACAGAAGAGCCTATAAATTAAAGTAATAAAGAATGTAAACTTGTATACTGTTGCAAAATAAATAGCAATTACTGAAATAAGTTGTATATATTTTTCATATAATAAATAAATAAAATAAAGCATACATAAATAATCTTACAATCAAATCTCTTTTACTATATATGCCGAATACAGATGATAAGTACATAACATGTTATAAAGATTTATAATCCAGTCTCGTCAAAATCAAATGTAATAATGTTGTGTTGACTATTTTACTGTAAAAATGTAAGAAATACATATGTTTTTCAAATATGGATCACAATGCCACTACACGCACGAATCATTCTGTAAGAGGACAATTCTGAATTGAATATGTCATTTTCTTTGGTTTCCGCAGCGTGGAGCTCCTGCTTTATACGTGGTGGTTCTACTCTTGATCGTCTGCGGGAGCCACAGTCAAACACCTTCTTACACATGTACCCCTCAGCCAGGTGTTCGCCCTACAGCGGCTTCAGGTAAGTCAGTGGAAGAACGCGTAGTATTACGGAGAAATGATGAAATATTAATGTTTTGAACCTTATTTAATACTTCTTATCTTCAATATCGTCCATTTAAAATGTTTTATTCTGTTGGAAGTGATAGTGTGCCTAATTAACACTACGTCCATTTCTCTTCATCTTTGAATATAGAGCCCCCATTTCCTGTTGTACCAAACACATTTTCTACTAAACTAGAGGCGATTATTGTGGATGGCAATGAGACGGTCTCTGCGGAAGAATACTTCGACGAATACAACAACAGAGCCGCTCTCTTTATGTTACGAAATGATCAGATCAGCAAACTTATCTTTGATTACAACACAGAGGAACTATTTTACGTCTATCGTAAGTCAGAATGAAATGAAGTCAGTTACATTTACTTGTATTCCAAAAAGGAAAACAAACATTCCTTGTGAAATTTGATGTTTCTGAAAAATTTCATCGTATTACAAATAACAGATAAAGAGTTAACGTCATTCCTAAAGGTTGAAAAAAGAATTGGTATTTTTATAAAAACAGTAAATAAAAAAGTTAATCTGGAAAAAAAGTATATAGAAAATGAAAGGAAAGTGAATAAAAATAAAACCCAGACCGTTAATTCTAGCTAACGGCACATGTAAAACCACCAATCTGACGACAGACGACAACAATCTGTTGTTTGGAAACGTTAAAATAGAAGGGGGACTACACGTGTTCTCAACAAACGGCGCCATTCATTTCTCACAAAAATACGGACAGGTAGGTATTACAGTGAGAATATTGTATAGATGTTTATGAGAATACTGAAAGAAGAATGCTTAGTATTACAACATTTATTAACGGTAGAGTCAGATTAGCTTCGTAATTACTCATTATGCACTAAAGAGACGTTTTCAATTGCTGCAATAAAGCAAAATAATTTTTATACATGTTTTAAAGTGTTAAGTAAGGTCCCAGCTCTACATTTTCTGGGTTAATACAATGTTTTATATCTTGGAAACATTAGAATAACATCATATGTAATTACAAAGCACATAAAATCTGGACTGGTTACTTTTATGAACAGAATCTCTTAAAGACGTACTATATAATACTTTCATCACACAATTGACTCGAAAATCAATAGTTCCAAGATCAATAGTTGACAGTTCTGAAAACAATATTTAAGCAAATCAATTTCCAAATCTATTTATTTATCAGATATTAGGTTAGAAATTCACAGTAATAAAAAAGGTGAAGATATAACAAACATTGATCGATCTCAAAACAAAAGCCAACAAACAACACAAATCTGTGTACAAGGCATAAAACACGGGCCCGGAAATTCCAGAGGAAGGATAAGGTACCTATGAAGAGTAATCATCCCCAGTGACCGGTCACACCTACCGTGAGCATTATGTTTTGATCAGGTTGAAGGAATATTCCGTAGTCATATTAAGTATAAAAACAAATGGTGTAAAATGTGTCAGTCAAAATACGACCCAATGATAGATTATCTTTGCCACCAAGATCATTAGAAGGACCATAAAATTTACGCAACGCTGACTTAAAATGAGGTTGTTAAAATCCCTGTAACATCAACTTATCTGTCAGTAGCCTGCCCGGTGTAGAATTATTGATCGTAGTGATAAGAGCATGCTCTTGAGTATCAAATAAGCTGGGAGACATATATACCATATGCATGTGATATTACTTCATGTACATGAATAAGAAAAGTTGACGACGAAAAAGCTGAAGTCTTTTCGTTTGCCACACAGTTAAATTGTCAGACCTTATCGTCTGTAGTCATTAAAATGTCACATTTATTTATTAATTAACAAAAAAAAAAAATAAAAATTGGAGGGGAGGTAACCTAAATGATTCAATGATAACTAAATGATAACTAATTCAAAATTATAACAACATTTGACATTCATGGGCACATTTTTATATTTAAGTGGTTTACCACTTTATTTTTTTTCTTTAGAATGTTAAAATTAAGACCAGTTGCATTTAAAAATATACAGAAATATAACAGTTCACAGACTCTTTTCTTTCTCAGTTGATTCGATACGTAAGAGCATGCTATTCGAACAATTTCTAAAACGAGGTAAGTTATTGACAAACAAGTTGATGAAACAAGAATATCAACAGTCTCGTTTAAAGTCATTATTTCGTAAGGTCTATGGTCGATACAATGACCTTTTCAGCAAAATACAATCTATCATTGAGTCATATGCGGACTGACTTTTTTCATACTAATTATTTACACACTTAATTGTCTACGGATTTTTCTGTTATTTACCGATCATGACAAGAACACATGGCAGATATGACGAGGGGATACTCACTCCTCCATGGCATCTGATCCCACCTTTGATGTTTTAGAGGTCCGTGTTTGCTCCGCTCCTATAATTTGTATTGTTTAAATGGACTTTTGAGCTTGAATACTGTTTATCTCCATATATTTCACAATAACCTATAGTTATATCATCATAATTATTGATCAATCATCTTCACCTTTTAAAACGTTATTGAATTATTGAATTATTATTCTTCAGAAAACTCTAAAATTACTTCCTTTGAAAAACAATAAAATTCTTTACTGTTTATAAGAAATTATGAAATGTGTATACTTTCTAATTACCGTATGAATATTACATGTATATGTAAATGCTATAATGTATGTATAAATCATCATTTTGTTATGTAAATGTAGTTGAAATCAAAATCTTTTTAGACTTGCCACTTATGCAAAATGGTGAAAACAAGATCTGGGGTTACTGTAATTCTTTTATTCTCTAATTTTGATCATTATATATTTTTAATCCAGTGAAACAATTACTACATATGATGACGTCATTCGAGTAGTGACCTACCTTAACCTATAAAGTTTATGTTTTATACACATGCAGACATACATGGGTAAAAAGGTGATACGAGGAATAAACTGTGATATGTGGAGAACGTGTCTCACCTGGCAACCACTACAGTCCACCTTTACTCTGGACTACTACTTCACAGGTTAGCTCCTACCTCTGATAAAACATCCGAGTTCTAGTTTTACTAAGTGTACATGATAAAAAGCTCACTTTGTTTTTTTTTAATTTGATATTTGTATGATTCCCCATTACCCAATTTCCAACTTGCAGCACGTAGTTACAAGAATCAGATTCATGACAATTTTTGGTCATAAGAACTCTTGTATAATGTGTAAATTACGAAATATACAATGTACACTTCTAAGATCTCTGAGTAAAAGGGTAATGCAAAATGATTTTCTATTTTTTGATGTTGTTATTGTTGAAAGATTAAAGTTTATTTCGAAACAAACCTACTGCATGCTAGTAGGATATAGTTTAGAAGCATTAACCTTTTATTTGAAAACCAGATCAGAATTGGTTGTCCTCCTCTGGCTACTCTCAAGTTCCTGTCCGAGCTGAAATATTTGGGATACAACAACAATCAGGCGCGAATCCCAGACAGTTCCATCATATATACGACTACACAGACTTCACGACAACACTGGATCCCAAAACAACAGTGTTTGAGGTAAAACAATTAAGGGCTTTTACGGAAAAAAATCTTAATTTTCCCCTCATCTATAATGAACTTATTCTGATGTAGATATGGATCAAAATATTTCCTAGATGTATAGTTCATCTATAGAAAGGTTAATAATGAAATCTTTAAATGAAATGTTTTCAGACTCCCCATTTTGTCACCTGTAGTAACCGGATTCAGCTGAGAAGCGTACCCTCGCTGAAGTCCGCCTTTTCGTACAGAGAAGAAATAATATCGTCGACAGGAACTACAAGTAACTCAGACGTGAGTCAGCAATTCTTTTTTCCGAGGATAAAATTCAATTCATAAAATTTAGAACACCAGGCTTCAGCACAACTTCTCAGCAGAGAAATTGTTTGATGATAACACGTTATCTTACAATCATAGTAAAGGATTCCTTACATTCATCACTTAAAATTGATATCCTTTGTACAGTTAATTATAAGAATATATGTAAATACAGGTTTGGTTTGACTCCAAATTCAAACTGATGAGATTAGATTATCGGCCCCCTTCTGGTTCCCCACCTTACTACAGCAACGACACAATCACCGAGATACACGACTACACCATAGGTAAAACGTACATCTATTGGACAAGTATGAACCACTACATGAGTAAAAAGCCAGAAAAATGTTTGATTATTTATGTTAAAAATAACGAAAATCTGCCGTAAAGTGTTTCTTTAGGAGATGGTATTATATAGGCAATCAGAAGTTAGAAACTTATTCACTATTCTTTATTCACTTTTCGAATAGCGAACTGTATTGTATGGTGGGTTCACTGTTCAATTTACCGTGAGTGTCCTAATAATTTTTTTTCAAGAAACTATAGATCGACTGAATTAATTACATGTAGCAGAAGCAAATCAAATACCTCACTTACAAAAAAAAGACTCATGACCCCAAAACTAGCTAGCCCAACCAGAATGGTGGCCGTGCTTACATTACTCTTAAAAGATGAACTTTGTACAAGGGGCTGAATGTCATCCAAAATCCCATAATTCAACAGAGGAGAGGTCTTGGACTTGCAAGTTGACCCGTAGAAGGAAATGGTTTTATAAGACATGCAACCGCTATAGCTAACCCGTGAATAATGAAAAATGAATACGTTTCAAACTTCTGATTGCTTATTATATACATAAAGATGAAATATGTGGAGATAGCGAACAGTACTTGAGCTCAAAAGTCCATAAACATTACAAAATAGGAGCAGAGGAAACAAGGACCTCTAAGACATCAGAGATGGGTTAAAGTGCCATGGAGGAGTGAGCTTCCCCTGCCGACCGGCCACACCGCCGTGGGCTCCCCGTCATAATCGGGAACCAACGGAAAAATCCGTCGACAACTCAGTGTGTAAATAATGGCCTGACAATTAGTATGAAAAAATATTTGTTTATTATATTATATTAATTTATATTATTTATATTATATGAATTTAAATGATTACTCCCTTTCTAGGAGTGGCTTACGCTATGGACAAGGTGATGCAGAACTGTTCGATCATTCCTATACAGAACGCCTCATTTGATGCCTCTATTACTAATGTATCAACTGGTGCCACCAAACAGCAGTTTATTCTCAAGATGAAGAGTCCAAATGACTTGTTTTTCCTTGACAATAACTACACATATACTGGGAGAGTGAGTAGTTAGTAATTTTTTAAGGGAAAAAACATGGAAAATGTAATTTTAATTCAAAATGACAACATCCGCAAACTTTTATTTGAAAACTTGTTGAAAAGTTCTGCACATTTTGTGTCCTTTTCATAAAAAAAAATAACGTAATTTTCAGTGAATTTTAATTCTCATAAACATCTTACTTTTTTGTATATTACAGCGTAAAGCCCGTGGTTTGAATTGTGACGTTTTCATTCGCACTCGCGATGATTATCCTTTGGGACCCTTCAAAGTTCATGCGATATTGGAATTTTATTTCCTCGCTGTAAGACTGCAGTATATAATAACAAAGTCAGCCTGTTTGTATGGTGATACACTGTATACTGAAGATCTATTTGGCTTTTCAATGTATTCTGATTGGTTAGATTGAATACACCACAGCTTTCTTCTTTGCTTTATAATATATTGGGGTTTCTCTATCATTTTCTGAGATTGCATCATTATTTGTTCTGGATATAATAGGCTATGAAATTGGTTATTTAAAATATTAAGAATTCGAATTCCTAGAACAGATATTTTAAATGCTCTTAAATCATCTTTAAATTTCAATTTAGAAAATAATCCGAATTTCTGTTTGCTTGCACTGTAATAATTAATAACTGCATGTAAAATCAGAACTTATTCCTGAAATATTCTGATGTGTTTTAGAATGACCAGACAGAACAGAATAACGCCGGAGCCTTAACTCAATCCTCGAAGGATGTTCCAATTCAACTTAATGTCAACATACCAGGGGTTAGATAGTTGTTTACTCTATATTTATTGGTGTGAATTCTGATTGATGTATATACATTATGTATTTGCAATATTTATTGTTTGTTCCATTATTTGTTGAAAATGTATATACTTTTAATTGAGTCCAATAAGGACTTCGGGTAAATTTTAATTGTGTAGTTTATTTTAGACAAGCTCTCAAATCAATTCAGTAGAAAGGTGTCCATAGAAAATTAAATATAAGTGTTTAAACTAAAGGCATTTATGATTACTGAAGAAAACCTTATTGAGTTGTTTGAAAATTGGACTGAAAAAACCTAAATCTTACAAAGACATTGCTATTATATTGTTCATTGAAAAAATGTGTTGTTTTAGATTGGTGTTAATAGAGATAACACTTGATTCTTTACTTTACCGATAGGAATCTGTTACTTTGACCTATAACATTTTCAACTTTGACCCCGAGGATCCAGAAGTCACTAACTTTGACGTCAGCACTTGTTTTGCAGCCGATCAAAAGATTACTTTCAAACTGACATATTATGGTATTTATCAGTTTTGAAATTTCATTCAAATTGCCAAATGAAAAAAGAAGCAGAATGAACTGATATTTGATTTAATTTTTATCTATATAATTATATTCCAGGAACGTTTGACGCGAACGTGATGTCTTACAAGCAAATCTTTTTATTCCAAACAATTTCGGCTGTGGCAAATGCTGCGGCAGTTACCCCGTTACGAGTCTCCAATCCCACAATGTACATGCAGTCGTCACAGGCGTATTTCGTGGCGACCTTACTGGACAAGGCCCCGGCAATAAGTAATTGAAGTTGTCTGTCTTGAATCTGTATTTAGATACGGGTACTCTACGAGTAAAAAAAAAATTCATTTGTATAATGATTGCACATTAATTGGTGTGATTTTTAACTTTTTATAGAATTAAAAGATAAAGTAATAAACAATCGCTGAATAAACTTGATTAAAACAGTTAAATAATCTGACATCTATATGTTTGCAGTGAGGTATCAGAAAATTCCTGGGAAAGTTGTTCAGTTCCACAATGACGCCGTTATTGGTGGAATTACTTCCGCTTCCGATTGCGCAGACACTTGTCAGACCTTCGGAAATTGGACCTGTAATAGTTTTGAGTACTGTGCGTCGTCACTGACCTGCACGCTCAGTAAAATTCACACGGCTGACGGTACCGTGACAGATTCTACACAGATGTGTGATCTCTATGACAGTAGGTTTAATGTACAAAATTTTCCTTGTGTACCTAGTTACTTTATTCATATATACTCCCTATCTCAAATGGCAAATAAAGATATATATAGTATACGATAGAATAGTACATGGAGATAATTTTATGTGTCAATTAAGATGTTTAGAGTACCTATAATTTCAAGGTGTTCTTTTCAAATGCCATTCTCTTCCTGTGAATTCATTTTGAAAGTTTTCACAAGGAAATATCAGTTAGATCTAAAATTTTACAATGCAGTGAAAGATTAATCTGATTACAATTTTTTGTCAATATTACGGAAAATTGTTTAATAAATATCATGACAGGGACACTCGGCACACCAAGTTTTGCCGAAACACCTCTTCAGACAGCTTGGAACAACCTAAGGAATACAGTTGTGAAGAAAAATTTCAAAATAAAAGTACAGTTTGATAAAAGCGTAAGTTCCTTTTACTCATTCTTGAAAAGTCATGCAATAAAAACATCATTGCCAAAACATGTCTTTAATGGTTATCTACTGAATTATAGATTCAGATATATACCGCTCAAACCATCAGCAACAACATTCTGGACAATCCAGCTCAAGCCACAGTCTCTAGTGAGTATTGGTATCAAGTGTCACATGCAATTCACATAAGAGGCACATTAAAATTGGCCAAAAAACACGACAAAAACAAAAACAAACCCCTGAAAAAGAAGAACCAATAAAATAAAAAAAAAATTTAAAAAACCCCAAACAATAACAACAAAACAAGCATGCTTTAAAGGCGCTAACAAAAAATATAACGTTTTCTTTTTCAGCAAATGTTATGAGTAACTTTAAACTGATGACAAACAAATTCGTCAAAAATTTTGACATCGACATTCTGTCTGGTATCTCAGTAGACGACTGTGCGCAGGCGTGTATGACGGCATTGAATTATGTTTGTAATTCATTTGAATATCAATATGCAACAAGTTATTGTTTGTTGTCCACACTTCACCCTGATGAAAATCCTTCCTTGATACAGCCGAATGTTGGAGTCGACCTGTTTATTCGTAAGTAAGAATCAAAGATTGAAAAATTGTTTGGCTAACTGAGAACATGAGACTGGTAATTCAGCCGAGCAATGATAAATATTATACGAAAAATTTTGTTTTTCACAGGTGACTATTCTAACAAGTTTATCGAGACTCCCGGAACAACAGTTCTTTCATCATCCAATGCAGTTTACCAACAGATCTTCGACACAAACCAGTGTGCTAAATTTTGTGTTGACTACAAGGGATTCAACTGCAAATCCTTCGATTTCTGTCCAGATATAGGAACTTGCTTTTTAGGAAAATCGCACGTCTATGATGTCCCTAAGGCTCAGATTAAACTAAATCCCATGTGCAATCACTGGTCAAGTAAGTTCCTGTTGAACAGCTGTTGAACTTGACATTGATTAGTTGTGCTTTAAAATAACCTAATGTGTGTACAATCTATCCTTTTTCTCTTTAGGGAAGTACATCGATGACTTCAAACAAAGTAAGCTTAATGTGAATATTAAAATGATCAACGATCGTGTTATAACTGGAATAAGTGTGAACCAATGCGCAAAATCCTGTGTGGATATGGAAGGCGGAAGTTGCGCGTCGTTTGCATTTTGTAACACCGGGTCAGAGTGCAGATTGAGTACTTCGGCTCTAAGTAATGTGGGACAGGTTGGACCAGCGGCTGTAGCAACATGTACTGTCTACAGCAGTAAGTTGTAATATAGCAAAATAACTGCATTTTATTGATTCATATAAGGTTCAGTAGTTGATAAATGGCATTAAATGTATTAATTCATTTTTAAAGGAAAGTCTTTCCCTGACGGCACGCCATACATTGCTAATCCACAGAAATACTATGGAAACTTGAACAAAGCCTCTACAGGCGGGATCTCTAAAGGTTTGTGATAGAGTTCAATCCCCTTGCGATTTATGTGAAAAACATATCCCAAAAGAAGTTGGCCCCTAGGTTCATTTTGGAAGTTTCTCTCTCTTCGAATGGTGTTAATCATAGAATTTAATTTGATATCTTCACAGTGATGTCTTTTTTGTTGATAAAACATTGATGATGTTGTTTCACCTAAAAGTGGTGTCCGCCATGTTTTTGAGCAATATTTGTGCCCATTGGTGTTTGGATACATATATATGTATTAAAAGAAAATAAATTCAAAAGTATTTTACATTGTGTAGATCAATTAATTTTAAGATGAATTTAATTCTCTGCAAAGAAATAATTGGTTCGTATAGGCATTTTTCTATGTTTATGGCAAAAATTTTATGATATGACTTTTATTCGATAGAGAAATAGATTTGGCACAAAACAATTCATTAACAAATAACTGATAGTCAACAAGTCAGATACACTGTTAAATCTTGATATATGTCTTGATTTCATCTTTGACTTTTTTTTTTTGAAGAAGTTTTTTTTTTAAAAAAGTGAGAGATGAAACTATATTTCCTGTGAACTTGATTTTAATGATGACATTGTTCCCACTAGGTGGCGCAGCAGGCGTAGCCATAGTGATGATTTTAGTAGGGATCTTCCTAACGGGTTTAGTTCTTTTCCTGTACGTCAAATTCTACAACAGAGGAGGGGACGATATGACGATCAAATTTTCCCGCCAAGTGGACGATGAATAAATACTCATCATTTCACGAAATCTCACCATCCCAGTGGATGCAGTATGCATAAACCATTTTCTGTATCTGATGAGCACATGTTACTCGTACACAGCATTACTAAATGTGCAATATCATAAATGTATTTCATTCTGTTGTAGTCTGTTGGAATTATATCACTGAGTACAACGTAATTGATATGTAAATGTTGGTTTCATGTGTAAAAATGTGTTTGTGTTTTATAATAAAATTATGTACATTTTGTACCTAAATAGACATGTTAGATGCCTTGATTAATTTTTCATAATGTCTGTTTTGGCTTTAAAGGAATTCGAATAAAAAGGATCAATTAAGAGACAAGATGTGCTTTTTCTGATTTAGATTGTGACACTGAAACATAGTTTTCTTACCAATTTGCATATATTTTCAATCCTTAATTATTTTATTTATACATTTTGTATACACAAACTCTATTCATCAGTCATTAGGATCACGTATGTATTTTGAAAGAAAAAGACTGAACAAGTAAACAACAACTACGACGGAAGAAACCAACAAGGAAAAAGAACGCTTTTTTATTATGAAATTTACAAAAAACAAAACAAAAAAAAAGCATCAATGTTTACTCTTTTTTAATTGTGTTAGTTCGTATGACATCTAGAGCAAAATGAGTTAAATTTAAAACCTTTTCATGTAAAGATACATTTGTTATTGATATTGATAAATATTATCATGTATTGAAAGACGTGCCCTAGCAGTGCAGCCATAAAATCTGATATAAAGATAGTTCCACCTGGGGAGGGGGAGACAAATATTTAACTTTTTCATTTTTTTATCGTCTTTAAAAGACAAAAAATATTATTCCTGTTATGGCATATAAGAGTTAGCTTTCGTTTGCTAGTGCTGTCTCGATATTTATTTCCTTTTATATTTTAGAGTCTTTAGTATTTCCTCTTCCTGTTTTCCTAATATTGCAAGTGTATGTATTTAAGGACACTTGCTACATACAAGAAATGGATGCATGAATTAATATATATTGTTTGACTTTTTTTGGTCACAAATAAAGATAAAAACAAATTCAATTCTGAATATTAACCTTTCCGTTTATATACGTCTATCCAAATTTTTTATTACTTATTTAAAAATAATAGTTTTAAGCAAATGACCTTAAGCTATGGTTTTAGTTTGCTTGATGATTTTGCTTGGTACTTTTAAGTACAGATAATCTTAGACAGTGTAAGAGTGCAATAAAAATACGCAATATACCTTTAATTACCCTTCATATACAGTGTATGTACCTAGACCGTCAGACGCAGTTACATTGTCATGCTTGTGATGGAAAGTTCTCAGTCTTATCTTTGATGCAAAAAATCGGCTTTTGGTGGCTTTTTGGTTTATTTATATCTGTCCAGAACACAGAATCTTGTCAACAAGTCAACTTTTGGAATCTTGATTTACAAATCTATGCTAGTCATACTACCTTTTCATTTCATTATTTTCGGCAAATGATTATGTTTTTATACTGTATTTTGTTTGTGGAAGTGCTTTCTGATTATGTGAAATATTAAAAATGTAATGAGAAAAGTGGAGATAACCAACAGTGCTCGATCAAAAACAACCTATAAAAATATAAATCTATGAACAAGGTATAAAACAGAGACCGCCGGAAATACAGAGGTGGGATCTGGTGCCTAGAAGGAGTAAGCATCCCCTGTCGACCGGTCACACCCGCCGTGAGCAACAATGGCCCAACGATTGGCATGAAGTATGCCAATCAAATAACAAACCCATGAATTACATAATTTATTGATAGAAAAATTAAAGACGTTTAAAATACATTTCTATAAAGATTATACATTTTAAAATTTAAATCGCAAGATGTGGATCGTTGAAATGTGCAAATTTCTTCCAAAACACTGTACATACTTTCGTTGTTCTTAAGGTCAAGATCTAGTAAATGACTTTAGAATAAATTTTTAGTGCTATGTCTATTATGACGTCATAATCAATTTTAACTTTATTTTTCCCGTACTTTACGGCTCTAGTAGAATTTTGTAGAAAATAAAGTACTTTCATGGAATTCAATTTGAAATCATGTGAAAAGTAATCCCGAAACCTATATTTAATTTAATATTATTTTAAAGAAGAGGCCAAGAACATATAAATTATCGTTTTCTGAGAGACTGTAGGCAATCTGGATGCATTTCTTTGTCTGATATGGAAAAAAACTCCCATATTCATGACTGGTTTTCTTAATTTTTCATTGAAAATGACAGTTCAAAATGTGATTTTTCGTCTTGTTCATCTACAAATTATGCCCCAAAACACCTTATTTGACCAAGCTAAAGTTATGAAGCACCATTAAAGGAATTTATTTCTTAAATTTGAGAAATCTGTAGGCACCTTTCATTTACTAGATCTTGACCTTAAATAGCTTTATGTGTCCTTATATGTTCAATATCCCCAAATATTATAACGGTTTACTATGTAGTACCTAAGCGCACGAAAGGAAACTGGATATCTTTTGAGAAACACGTGAATAAAGTTTATAGAGATAAAGAAGAACTTTTCTTTAAGAAATATTATTAAACCATAAACCTTCAAGTCTAAAGTGAGTTGTCAAGTGTTTATTTTATACTTAAAAAGACACCGTACTGACTAATAGAATTCATAAAGTTCTTAACCTTATTTTAGAACTCAATTGGTGCATGGATATAAGTTTTATTTCTATTTTATACGAACGTTTTGCAATGAAAAGTCGGACTTCTTATCTTCCGTTTAGAATTTTTATTGTATTGTGGATTTATATATATATATATATATATATATATATATATATATATATATATATATATATATATATATATATATATATATATATATATATATATTACATGTCTTGAACGCAGGATCCAGGTGTGATCAATATATGCTCGAGTATACTGTTCAAATGAAATAACACAACAACATACGATAGTGATCCCTTTTGGTCCTCAACCAGTGTACCATAAAAGATTACAATAATATAGAATCAGTCGTTACTCGTATCTGACACAAAACAACATATTTATATATAGTAAATATATTTAAACTGATTATTTTAATTAAATACAACGTTTATATTAGTCTAAAAATATGTACGCATTCCGCATTCGTCGATCAACACCTTTGAAGACTTGAATAAATATTGTTTTATACGAACTCCTTATATATTTGTCAGCTTATATTCTCTCTAATTTCATTTTGAAAACTTTAAGTCAAATCAGTAGTACCGGTACGTAAGCTACATCTTTATTTCATCACAATTTTTGGGAAACACGCCATAGAATTGTTTTCCAAATGCTGCATTTATTTTATCTTAAAAAAATCTAAGATACGGTTTAATCGGTGAAATGTATTCAATTTTTAAACAAAATATGCTTTCTTTGTTCTTTCAAAGCAATATTGTCATATGACACGTGAGAACAAATCAGTTGAAAAGTTTACCATGACCTAACTGCACGTAAGGCAACCTGGACATCTTTTAAGAAACACGTGGTTTAAGTTTATTAATAGATTAGAGCCCTTCTGAAAGAACTATTCTTGGACCATAAAACTCTCAGCGATGTTTCTCAACTCATATGAGAGTTGTGGAGTGTTTGTTTTACAATAAAAAAGACATTAGACTGATTAATATAGTCAGTTAAGTGGTTCTTAACCTATTTTAGGGCAAGTTTGGGTCACAACTGCAGGTCTTGCTTGTTAAAGTTAATCTATGATCATTTTTAAAACATTTTGATAATTCATTGTATAGATATGTGGAACGTATTCTCGTCAGTAAAGTAAACACAATTTCTTTTCAGACAAATCTTTATACGACATAAAGTGTGGAAATACATGTATACTGAGCTAAATTTAATCGTTAACTCCTATAGGCACCTAAATTCCTTAAGATGAAATATATGGAGATAACGAACAGTATTCAAGCTCAAAAGTCCATTAAACAATACAAAATAGGAGCAGAGCAAACACGGACCTCCAAACATCAGAGCTGGGATCAGAAGCCATGGAGGAGTAAGCATCCCCTGCCCGACCGGTCACACCCGTCGTGTGCTCCTTGTCATGATCGGGAAATAACGGGAAAATCCGTCGACAATTCAGTATGTAAATAATGGCCTAACAATTAGTTTGAAAAACGTCAGTCAGCATTTGACTCAATGAAAAATTGTATTTGCTGACAAGGTCATTGTATCGACCATAGAACTTACGAAATGATGACTTTAAACGAGACAGCTGATATTCTTGTTTCATCAACGTTCAAAGAGAACGTGTATCTTTTCTTTCGAGGAATACATTTATAATTTAGCTATTAATATGTTATACAATTATAATAAATAACTAAATGAAAAAATGAGATGATGCATCTGACGTCTTGTAATTTTACGCGATTTCTGCAAATTAGCATTTCTTGAGGAATAATTTCTTCATATGTAAATTATCCAAAAATGTGCCGCCAAGAAATCAGAAAATACTGAGGTACTAGGAAAAGAAAAGTATTCCTAGAAAATGAAGAGAAAAAAAACTAAATTTTCCACATTGGTTAAAAATAAGAAGTATATTTTAAGACAGTTATGAGGAGATTGGTGCCATCCATTGAGTAGGATTACTGTAACCTAAAATAGACAGGTTAGCCAATCTTAAATTCAGCATTTTTTCAGCACTTTTGGTTTCATTTCTTTATCCGTGTTTTTTATCCTCTTAACGTCAGTCATTTTGTGCAGAGAGTGTTACAGACAGCGGAAACAAACTTACTAGTATAAAGGTCTCTTGAAATACGTTCCAATAACCATAACCTTAAAAAGAAACAAATTTTATAGTAAATTGAATGAAAACAGCACAAAAATCTTAAAACCAAGAATGTCCAGTAAAAGTGTCTCTTGTTACCAATGTGTTTTGTAAGTGTCATTCATGAGATAATAAAATAACTCTCAGGGATACAGTCTTTCTTTTTAATTTGATATTGTTTATAGTTTGTAAGAAATTATGTGTGTATATGTGGCTGTTCTACATTATTGTTTTATCACACGCCTACTTTTGTATTGTTGTTTGAATTAGAATGTTGGAGAATGTTCATTTCGTTTCCAAGCGTATTTTTCTAGGTTCCAAGGTTAATGGGCCTGTAGTTAAAAAGCAGTATTT